TCTACTCTAAACCAATCTGTGAGTGCCAACATCACCAAGAACATGGAGGTAAGGAAGGAGAAAGAGGGAGGACAGGACAGGCCCAAATCCCAAATCCATCTTAAAACCTCTGACCCCCATGTACAAAACCAAAACCCCCTGTACAGCACTCAAAAATTCTTCCCTTTACTTTGTGACTACTTCTACTATAATATCTAAACTTTTGTGACTTCTTGTTTTACCCGCAAGGTTGGTAAATCATTCCATGGCTCAAATCCAAAATCACAGCTGTTTCCAGCTGCCTGTCAGGGTCTCAAATGCTCCTGACCAGGGCCTGGAACCTCCAGAAATGTCTGAGGGACATTTTGAGTTCCAGCACCACATGAAGAGCTCTGCCCACCAAGGGCTCACAGATTAATTTAATCTCTTCTCCTGTTTCCAGATTTCGCAGAGTTCGTTTTCCTGGGGCTGTTCCTCACTGAGATGTCTTTGAAGATGTATGGGCTGGGGCCAAGGAATTACTTCCACTCTTCATTCAACTGCTTTGACTTTGGGGTGAGTAACGTCCAGCAGGGTGGATAAATCATGGAATGGTTTGGGGTGGAAGGAACCTTAAAGTCATCTAATTCCAACCCCCTGCCATGGGCAGGGACACCTTCCATTGTCCCAGGTTGCCCTAACCCCATCCAGCCTGGCCTTGGATGCTGCCAGGAATCCAGGAGCAGCCACAGCTCCTCTGAGAATTCCATTCCAACCCTTCCTCCCCTCACAGGGAAGAATTCCTTCCCAATATCCCATCCAACCCTGCCCTCTGGCAGTGGGAAACCTCCCTCCTGTCACTGCATGTCCTTGAAAGCCCTCCCTGTGCCAAGCAGGAGTCTCTCCTGTCATTCAGGTGTTTAAGGATGAAGTGGTGCTGGGAGCGTCTCCTGTGAGGAGCAGTCCCTGTATAAATTAGCAGTGAGATGCATTAAGCTTCCCTCGTTATCCTCCTTTTGGAAGGGAAGTGACAGCGGGGGGATTCATTTCCTCCAGCCCCGGGCTGTTGGCAGCATCAGCACCTCTGACTGCCGGCAGATTCTGTCCCTCCCGTTGCAATGAGCTGATTGAAAGACAAAAAAAACCCCACACATCTTCCTGCTCATGCCACCCTCTGAGCAGTCCTCACCTGGAGTCACACAGGCAGAGCTTTTCAGACATCACCAGGAGCAGCAGACACCTGAGGAGGTGACAGCAGGGCAATAATTCAAATTTCAGCGCAGAAATCCAGGCTCAAACTGCAGCTCTGGTGCGAATAGCAGGGCTGGGTTTGGCTCCACCTGACAAGGAGCCTGGCATGTGGATGTTAATTTATTCATTAAAAGCTATTAGCTGTAATCTGTGCTTGCAGAGGAGAACTCTTATCTGAGCTGGGCTGAGCAGGACTTGGCTGTTGTAAGAATCCAGATATGGAGCTTTGGATCCAGGGAGAGTGGCTCAGGCCATTGCACTCCTCACCCAGCTTTGCTCTGACATTCAGGCTGCTGTTTCTAGCCTTTATCTGCCAAAATGCTGGGAGTGACTCTTCCTCCATGAAGCCAAATTCCTCTGCTCCCACAAGGGAGGAGGAGCTGTTGTCACCTCCTAAATCCAAGGCTCTGAGTTGAGCCAATTCATTCTCTTTTTGGCCGTGACAGCAGCAAAGCTCAGAGTAAATAGAATTTGAGATTCAATCACTCACCCATGTCCAGCACCCTGAGGTGTTGCACGAGGCTGTCCCAAATGTGGGGCTCTGGTTTTGGGGTGTCCTGGCAGCTGTGGTGGCTCAGAGGGTTGGGATGGGTTGTCCTGCCCAGCCCAAGGGACAGTGCTCAGACCCAGACTGTCCATAAATTGTCCTTTAGGAGTGTCACTGATGCCTTGTGAGGGCTGCCCTAGAACAGACTGGGCAGAGCTAAAGAATAAAACAGGGATTTATTCAAAGGCCTCAGTGGATCCACCTTGGGCAGCACAAGGGTCGATGTCCTGCACTGGGTGGGCTCTGAGCTGCCCCCCAGGCTGGCTGCCAATTCCCTTGGATCTCTGAATCCAGGATGCTCCTTCCACAAGGAAAGCTTGTCAGGGACAGGTGATTTAGGAGCCTGCACAAAGCAAAGGCTGAACTCGGGAGGTGTCTGAGCTCTGTGGGCTGTGCAGCCCTGGCAGGGAGCTCTGCTGAGGGTGTCCCAGGAGAGAAAACTGTTGATCTGTTGCTAATTCCTCCTCCTTCAGAGAATCCATAGGGATCCTCCTTCTGTCTGTTTTTTTCCCTGCCTCCCCCACCTTCCAGCCCCCAGAACGAATTCAGCAGTGGAGCATCACAGAGCTCTGTCCCCAGTTTTGTCTGACAAACCATCGAGATGGAGCCGTGCTGGCGCACAGGGTGAAACAACAAACCAGAGCAACATCTGCCTGGGGAGCAGCAGCCCAGGGGGAGCCAGGCTCCCAGGAGGGCCTCTGAGGAAATAAATTATCAGTGCTCTGTGCAAGGGCTGAGGAAAGGCTTTTGCTGATTCATGAGTGTGTGGGTTTAAAAAGCCAGGGGTCTGCTAAGGAAGGAAGGAGCCTTCCCCAAAATGGAAAATGTAAACCCTCTCCCTCTGAATTATTGTAATTTTTAAACTAAGAGGCTCTCAGGTAAAGATATGGGAATAGGAATAACAGTTCTTTAATAGGAAAATTAAAAATTCAAATGCAATAGGACAAATAAAAAAAACCAAACCCCTGCTAGAGTCAGAGCAGCCCTGTCCCCTGTGGGTCAGGGAGGTGGCTCAGCCCCATCCCAGGGGGGCTCAGCCCTCCTGCAGTGCCAGCTGTGCTTCTGCTGGAGCAGGATCCTGCACAAGGGGGGAGTTTTCCTCTGGAGCTCCAGGGCTGGGGGAGATGGGCCTGGGCTCCTCTGGGAATGCAGGGGGAAGAAAGCTGCTCCTCTGGGAATGCAGGGGGGA